TATTTACAAAAGTATTCATTAAACAGCGCTTGAGCAGTAGTTTCAGCAGTACAATTAGGTAATGCTATTGCGGTAACATGACGAGTGAAATAATCAGTAATTACTAGGACGTACTGATTTTCGCGTGGTGTACGTTTTAAAGGACCGCAATAGTCAATGCCAATCAAAAGAAAAGGTCCTTCAGGTGGATTGATAGGATGTAAATGTCCATATTTCTTTTGGCGAGTAGTATTGTACTGCTTACACAATAGACATGACTGAATATAACGTCTTATGGTGGACTTCATAGCAGGCCACCAGTAAAGATTTTTTATTTTATTATATGTACGATCGAAAGAAAAATGCGCTCCTGACATAGGATCGTCATGACAGGCTTGAAGTAAGAAATCTATCATTGATGATGGTAGATATATTACTTCTATATTTCGTTTAGAGTGGCGTGAAGGTGTGATTAATTTATAGACAATATTATTTTTTAAGACAAACGGAACGTTATTTTTAATAGTACGAATTTCTTTAGCAATATTTTGTATGATAGGATCTTTTTCTTGTTCTTCTTTCAATTTACTCAAATCGAATTGATTAAATGAAAACTTTTTTGGAAGTGAATTATCCGATGAAACATCCACAAATGATTCATCATTCGACTGGTTTTCAGTAACTATTTTATTAGCAATTGTAGGGTTAGTCTTAATGGTATTATGCTGTTTAGAGTGCGATCTTAATGTCATAGTAGCAAGTAAGTTTTTATTTTTGTCGTGTTGAGATGAAGATGAGCTTGCTACCTCTTTAGATGATAAGGATAATGATGGATTATAATCGTTTCTACTTTCTAATCCATAATCAATTTCAAAAAGGTCGTCATGAACATCATTTGAGTATCTCGAGAGAAAATCAGGAAGACAATTTTCACGCCCACTTATGTGAATTACTTTATCAATATTGTATTCCTGAATCAAATGAGTTATTCGATCGACTCTAGCATTACGAACTGTTTTTTCCATGATATGACATAATGGACAATGATCCGTTCTAAGAATAATATTTCGACCTAATAGGAACGTACGCATTCTAGCAAAACACTTATAGATAGCTAAAGCTTCTTTCTCAATTGCGCTATATTTACGTTCACATGGAGTCATCAATTGAGAGTGATAGTACAGATTATGAACTTCACCATCAATTTCTTGCTGAAGAACTCCACCAACTCCGATTGCACTAGCATCAGTCGTTAACATTAATGGAACATTATCGACTGGATAATGCAGAAATAACGGTTTAGTAATTAGCATTTGTTTTAAATCATGAAAAGCTTTAGATTGAGCGTACTTCCATTGAAACTTATGTCGTTTATCTTTAGTTAAATTAGTTACAGCATGGATAGGAGCTGCTACAGTTGCAAAGTGAGGAATGAATTTTCGATACCAGCTAAGAGCGCCTATAAACTTATTTGCTTGAGCTAGTGAACGTGGTTCTTGAAGCGCAAGAATCGCTTCAATTTTCTCTTTCATTGGCGTTATACTTTTTTGACTGATTGTATGCCCCAAATAATCTATTTGATTAGCAGCAAAAACACATTTAGGAGGATTAAGAATTAAATTCTTGGCTTGTAACGCGGCCAAGACTCGCTCGAGATGATGCAGATGTTCATCAAACGACGTAGAAAAAACGATTATGTCGTCGAGATAGACAAGAGAAAAAGAGCGACAGAGTCTCAATGTATCAGTCATGACTTTCTGAAATGTTGGCGGCGAGTTTTTTAAACCCATAGGTAATACATTGAATTGATATAGGCCAAAGGGCGTCACGAAAGCTGTTTTTTCCTTATCAGAATCCCTGATTGGTATCTGATAAAATCCAGATTTAAGATCGAGTTTCGAAAAGTACTTATACCCTTGGCCTAGTTTTCGAATAGCATCCTCCATATTCGGTAGTGGTGATGAGTCTTTTATAGTTACTAAGTTTAATCTTTTATAGTCGACTACGAATCGATATGACCCATCTTTCTTTTTGATCAATATCGCAGGTGCGGCATACGGCGAATGAGATTCCGAAATTAAACCTGCTTGAAGAAACTCTCGCATTAGTTTATACATAGCCTGTTCCTTATCAGGTTGAGGATAAGGCTTACAAGCTGGCGGAGAGTGAGGAATAGTATTGATTACATGATGAATAGATGTTTTTGCTATATTATGTTTACTGATATCGAAAGTTTTTGAAAAACGAGTTAATAGTGAATATAAACGATCTCGGTGTTGTTTATTCTCAATTGTTTTAACTAATGTTTGAATGTGATTATCAACTGATGTAATAGATGTTCGTATGGTATTGCAAAATGAAATATGAGAAGAATTAATATGAGTTGTTTGATTCACAACTGATGGTAAGAAAGAACGATGTGGTAATAAACTAGTAAGAATATCTGCAAGTAAATCAGAAGAGGCTGTTGACACACCAGAAAATCTAGTGGCATCATCTGATTTTTGCAGAGGCGTACATATTACGGGTAATGAAGAAGTTAAGGTACGATACGAAAGAAATCCAACGCAATCACCTTTTCGTATATATCGAGGAAAACATGATGTATTACAAAATGAAATCATGGAACGATAGTTACGAAAATTTAGAAGAGTGTGTGTAACGAACAAACTATTACTATAATATAAATTTTCGTTAGGAATTAAAGGAGAACATATAGATGATACAGGTATAGTTGCCTGTGTTGAACGAGTTGAATAAGGGGGAACATATACAGATTTAGAGGAAGTAACTGGGATTTTACGAAGCTCATAGTCCGAGTCAATATTCATTCTTAGTAAACGATTCTGATATTCAATTGAGATTATCTGTTGTTTAACATCGAAACTTAGATTATATCGATTTATATAATCCATTCCTAAAATGATGTTTGTACATAAGCTTCGAGCTATATGAGCTTCTATTGTAGTCACTACATGAGAAAATTGAATAGATAATTCAACTGTTCCTACAATTTGAAAAGGTGCTACGCCATCAGCCAAAACAAAAGAATAAGATTTCTTATTGATGAATTTAGGATGTTTAAGATGTTTTAATAGTTTTTCATTGATAAAGGTTGTGGTTGCTCCGGTATCAACTAAGATCTTAGTTTTATAATTGTTAACAAAAGTAGTAAAGTAGATTAAAGAGCTTTTAGATGGTTTTAAGGTTTTATTTCCGGAGACAACACCATCAGTCGATGTCTCCGGCTTTAGAAACTTGGACAGGCCGAAGCCTCGTGTCCAAATTGGTTACATCGACTACAAGTACTAGATGAAAGTGTTTCATGCAACGCCTCAATATTGGCCGATGGACTGACTAGATCAATAGTATTCGCAGTACGTTGACGAGAATATGTATTACTTGAAGAATTATTTTGTGGTGGTCGAAATTTCTGACGATTCGTATTAGGAGAATTATTCGAATAGCCCTGTCGATAAGGTCGTGAAGAATTACTGTTAAATCGAACTTTATTTTGAGATGTTTTGAAAGATGAAAATGATGGAAAATTTGGATTAGAATAAGTATTCCGATTATTTAAGAAACGATAATTACGATTGACATCTGGAGAATATTTCGATGGATAGTTATTTGATGCATTAGTAAAGGACTGATTTATAGATGATGATGGAATGGATGTCGATGAAGATATTGGTTGTTGTTGTACAACCTGAATACTATTATGACTAGTAGTATTATCAATTGTCATATTCGAAAGCTGCATAAGTTCTTCTGCTTCTTTAGCATACTCAAGAAATTCAGCAGTTGATGAAGGCTTCTTTTTACGTACTTCGAACTGTATGCTAGGCTTAGTTTTATTTAAAAGATTTTTCAATTTTGTTGCTTCACTCATGGTCGAATCTGCTTCTTTACATAGCTTTAATACTTCATTGAAAAAACTATGGACCGATTGATTTTCTCCTTGAGTATACGACTCAAGTTTTTTAAATGCTAATTCTTCGTGAAAAGATGAAGTAAACGCTCTTTTCAATTCGAGAACAAACACACTCCATGATGTGAGAGATGAACGATTATTTTTAAACCATTCTAATGCGTCACCACGCAACGAGTAAGAAATCAAATCTAATCGAGTAGATTCTGGAATATGTGCTAGATCTAAAAGATGTTCGATTTCTTCGATCCATTTTTTTACATCATCTTTACCTCCCTTAAACGTTTTCGGATTTTTAATTAAATTACCGACAATAGCTTTACGAAGATCGTTTAGAGTTTGATCGAAAGTAGAGGTAGATAGACTATCTGAAACTGTTGTAGACTTTATGGCTGGTTTCTCACCAACAGCATTGGTGACACCAAGATTATCCACAGCAGTTGAACTAAACATAGGTACGTGATGCGTAGAAGCGAGACTTTTGCTATTATTGAAAACCAACTGATTTGATTCATTTGTGAATTTTGTTTGACATGAAACTGATAGATCGGAAGAATTATTAATGACGATTTTGCTAGACTTAGGCTGACATGAAATGTTATCTGTAGAGTCAAATTGCAACAATAAGAATTCATAAAAATCATCGAAAGATTTGATTTCTTTACGAGCTTTAATGTATTTGCGTTTAGCATCTCCTTCGACTAAAAGAGAAATAGCTTCGAATCGAAGATTTCTTCCGATATGAAAATGATTAAATTTATGCTCGGTTTCGTCAAGCCATTGTATTACGTTCTGCTTTCCTGAAAACGGAACAAAATTCTGTATGATAAATGAATCAAAACCATCATCATTTATATGTTCGTCAGGTTGCGATTGATTATCTGTTTCATTATCTTCTTCAGAATTTTTGATAGGACGATTCGAAATATTAATTTTATTATAAGTATCATCGTCCTTTTGTTGATCAACCTTTACAGCAACATTATATTCTCGATTCTGTGTATTTGTATTATCAACAACAGAACTCGCAATTTCGCAATTCGAATCAATATGTAAGAGTTTATTCGAAGTATTAATACACTTATTATTATTATTGCTGAAGATTTCACGATCTAGTGTATCTTTATCACAAGGTTGACTTCGAATATCTTTTAATGTTTTACTTTGGTCTTGACTGTTTAGATCTTTTTTACTATTCATTACAAATAGATTATATTCTTTTCTTGGTTTATGTGGTGTCGGTAAAATTGCTTTTCTTCGCTTGTTATCTTTAGAAATTTTTAAATCCTTTTCTTGATCTCTTGTTGATGTAAGAATAGATGTATCTGTAGTTGGTTGCGTACTTAAAGAATCGAGCGATAAAGATTTCGAGATAGAAGAGATACGATCTTTATTTATCATTTAAATTTATTATACGATCTTTATTTTAACGTTTTCAACAACAATAAGAAAAGAAAAAAAAATAAAATAAACGAAAAGAAAATGAAAAAGAAAATAGAAAGAACAAAATACGGAGACGAGAAAGAAAAAAGTAGAAAAAAAATTTTTCTATTTTTTGCGTTTATATATATATAGACAAACG